TTGAATTATTATTATTTATTATTTTTTATCAATTCGATTTTCGTTACTGATAATATTTTTATTGCTATATGTATTTTTTTTTTCAGTCAAAAAAAGCTTGAAAAATGCCTCACAATAAACTATTTGAAATTCAGCTAAAGATCTGTCAGCTCTCATCACTTTCTCTCTTTCCCTCTCGCTCTGCCAGAAAATGCATCGAATTACAATTGTTTGGTAAGTCAACACACCATTATACCATAAAAAGCAAATCCGAAATTAAAATGATCTGACAATCCCCATAATATGAAATTATTCCTTCGTTATTCTGTTGCTGAAATAATTCTGTAATTTGATACTCAACTGGCCTTTTCTCCGCTGATGGGTTTCCAATCAGATATTCTATCGTATTCCCTGGTCTACTTTAGTTGTGTGGGTCGTGCCGAGTGCTCGATATGTCGGCAAAGGTCGCCTTGTCGCTGTCGCTGTCGCTGTCCATCAATGTTGCTGCTGACCTCCTGAACTGCTTTGGGCCAAAGGAAAATGGAATCGGGGCACTCTATAGACTGAGTGGGAGTGGGCTGGACTTCAATTGCCTGTGATTTGAACTTTAAGTTATTTGATTTTGGTTTAGGTCTTTTCGAATTTTCCTTTTTAAGCGTTATTGCTCTGCGGAAAATCGTGCGAGTATTTTTCCTGACGTCGTTTGATTGAACTTTATTGGAGCATAAAAATGAAACCGAAATTGTTGTTGTTACTCTTAAGACCCTGTCGAATGATGGCCCGGCTCAGATTGCAGGTGATGTGAAATGCATGAGGAATGTACAGGCACTGGGCGCTGCGGGGGCGTGGCAGATGGCTTTTACATTCGCTTTTTTATGGCCATAAAAAAGACGGAACTCGTATGCATATGAATATTCCTCTGCTTCTTCTTCTTCCTTTTTTGCGTTGTATTCTAATGGAGCTGAAGCTGTTTGTTGTTGCTGTTGTTGTTGTGGTGCCGTTAGATGCATTGGGAATTTTATTGGTATTGTCTGCTGTTGTTGTTGTTGTTGGTGTTGTTTCTGATGTTGGCACTGCTGTTGATGGATTAGCGAGCGTTAGCCAAACAGCTGTCGTTGTCCAGAGACACGTCGACTCCACTTTCCGCATTCAATGCATCATGTGCTTGAAACTGGCGACGAGGACAACGCTGACAGCGTTGCCACTCAGCTCCCAAAGGGCATTGGATTACATGGATTTTATTATTATATATGAGCTCATACTGTTATGCCATTAGGCCGCTCTCTCTCTCTCTCTCTCTCATTCTCTCTTGACCAATTGGGAAATCATTTTCAATTACAGTTTCTAATTTACTAAAATAATATTCTTGTCT